GGGGCCCCCCAGCCGTGGGCCGCCCCCTCCCCACCACCCCTCCCCACGAACCCCAACTCCAAAGTGTGATCTGGCCAGGACTGGCCCCGCCCCATCACAGACCCCACCCCGGCCCCCAGCCCGGCCCCGCCCCACCCACCTTCAGAGGCCGAGACTCCTCACAGCTGCGCAGGCTGCTCAGAGGCACTTTGAAAGGCTGCCACGTGGGACACGTCGTTCTCCACCACGTGTGAGCCAGGAGGGGCCAGCGGCCCCGGGGGCCCTGCCTCAGGTTCCGGAGCTTCGGCCTGAGCCTCGCTCCTTCATAACTTCCCCGCGTTCCTGGAACACCTGGACTCCTTTTCCCTTAAATAGTCTTTTTTCATCCAAGTTAATCTATCTCAGAAGGAAATGCTCTCCCTCTGCTGTAACTGCTGTAAATCCAGTTTCAGGGGCAGGTAATGACAAGGCCCTGCTCAAAGGGAGGTGGCGGTGTGGGGCCGGGGGGATGCAGAGGGGCAGCAGGGGCAGCTCCCTCCCCGCCCTCCCACGCCCACCCCCAGGTGCTGGGCAGGGACCCCCACCTCTGTTCTGTACACCAGCTGCTCACTCTGAGCGTCACTGAGCAGATAAAGCTCCAGGAAGGGGTGCGGCTTGCTGAAGAAGTCCTGCAGGAGGAGCAGAGGCTTTGCCCGGCAAGGCGGGGAACGCGGCGGTGGGGGAACACCAGGTTCAGCCCCTCCTGGCTCTGAGGAGGGTCTTCCTCTGCAAGTCAGAAGAGGCAATGGGGCGGGGGGGTCCGCGCCTGCTCCCCTGGGGACCCTAACCCGCCCTCAGTGACCTGACTCCTCAAAACGTACCACTCAGGGCCCCTTGGGGCCTGGATCTGACTGGCCCTCTGTCCTCTCTCCCTCTGCCAGGCACCCTCACCTCCTTGCCTCATGGGCCCTCCCACCGCTCATGGTCAGGTGAGAAAACAGGTTCAGAGATGAGGGAGAATGCCAGGGTCCCTTCGGTCAGCACACATGTGACCTACGGCAAAAGCAGGGCATCGGGCCCTGGGAGCCTCCCAAGCCAGGGCTGGCCTGCGCTGGGCCCTCCGAGCGGTCTCGGCCTCCCCCCCACCACCAGGCTGCAGCCCCTTCAGGCTATAACCCACTAACTGGGCCAAGAGTTGACACAGGGACACCAGAGGGCAGCTCTTAGGCTGGCCTGTAGACCAGACAGAAGCTGACCGCCCCTCGTGGCAGCTGCAGGACCAGCGACTGCAGTGTGGGTGGGGACTCTAGCCTCCGCGTGGCCAGCTCTGACCCTCACTGCCATGACTGAGCTGAGACAGACGGGAGACAGGACCCCCACCCCCACCCCAGTCTGCCTGGCTGACAGCTCTGAGCATTCAAGAACATTTTGTGCAGAAGAGAAACCATCCCAGGTGGGGGAAGCTGAGGCCAAAATGGGCCTCGGGTGGGAGAGCTTGGTGTGAGGTGCGAAATGTGGGGCCCCACGCCAGGCCCCCAGGTTCTCTCAGTTGAAGGCTCACTTCTGGGCTCACCTATGGAGAAATGGGACAGCTGCAGGGTCCGTGTTGCACGCCTGGGACTTGAAGTGTCCAAGCCTTTGGCCGTTGAGGTGGCCCTACCAGCCCAGACCAGAATGGCTGCAGAGCAGGAGGTCCTGAGGACCTTTCCATAATGTAAAGTGTGTGTGTTTACCCAGACGTGTGCGTGTCCACACATGTGTCCGTGTGTGCCGTGCACAGGTCTGCGTGTGCAGGCATGCACACACTTGTTTGCACACGGATGTCTGTGCAAGCATGGGCTTTTACATGCCTCTATGCATGTGAGTTTTTTTGAGCAAAGACCAATTTGTATTCCATATTTCCCTTTTATTTATTTATTTTTGGGGGGTTTTTTTTGGAGGGGGAGGTAATTAGATTTATTTATTTATTTATTCTTAGAGGAGGTACCGGGGATTGAACCCAGGACCTTGTACATGCGCTCTACCACTTGAGCTACACCCTCCCCCCAGAAGAAATGCCATATTTCCCTTTTTAAATCTCCACTTCTTCCTGGAGGGGAAAATTATCTTTCACTAACTTCATCTTAACATCATTCAAAAAAAAATCAATTTTCATCAATAGACTATACTGGAATGGTTTCCAGAGCGGATGTTAATTAAAGCTGTCACATAAACAGAGTCACATCTTCTCTGAACAAGTCTTATTTCATGCTGGACATGCATATTTCCATGTGTGTCCCTGTATGTGGTCCCCGTCTTCCATGCTCACGAGGGCAGCTGGGGGCCAGGCTGGGCGGACCGCCGCCCTGTGCAGGGTTGTGCCCTGCGTGGGTCTTGGTCTTTTTATCTGACAGAAGGCTCTACCCGCCCATCTCCAACCCAGGCAGCAGCATGGATGAGTCACCCAGACATCATGTTGGGTAAAAGAAATCAGACACAAATGAGAACATCCCATGAGATTCACGGACATGAAATTCTAGGACAGGCAGAGCTATCAGGGCGGGGGGTGTGCTGAGAGGAGCAGGGGAACCTGCAGGTGATGAGAATGTTCCGTGTAATCTGGGTGACAGTCAGGTGGACCACCGTCTAAGCTCATCAGTCTCAACCCTCAAGGTCTACACATTCTACTGTGTGTACATTACACCTCAATAAAAAGCAGTGCCCTTGTAGCCCTCACAAGAATTTAACGTGGGACACACGGAGTGTTCAGCACAGAGGCTAGCGCTAAGTAGCCTGGCTGGTGGCGAGAGCAGGCACTCCTGTTACACTGATAATGGAGGAGCTGACGGACGACTGGAGTGGAGGACACAGTGTCTCTCAGGTGGGAGCTGGACCAACAGGCCACGGGGAGAGACACGGGAAGGGCTCCCTTGTGTCATGGAAGTGAAGAAAGCAAGCTGCAGAACAGTGTATGCCATTTGGGTTTTCTAATACATGAATATAGGGAAAAGAGCACGCGTTCCTTGGCTCCAGTGAGAAGACGTCTCTGCAGAAGAATGTAATGTCCCTGGAGACAGAGCAGGAGGGAAGCCTTCCATGTGTGCCTGTCACACTTTCTGGATTTGGATCCATATTACCCAGCACAAAATTACATATTTTTAAAAATAACCAAAAAGAGTTTTTTAAGAGAAGGAGCTGTGGAGACAGGCAGCGCTGGGGGTCATGCTGGTACACAGTCGGCATCTATTCATTGTCCCCATGCCACCACTGCCATAGAGCGAGCCCTCAGGACCTGCCCAAGTGCCCATCCTGCCCCTGCCTTCCCAAGGGGATGGGCACTCACCTGCCCCAAGGTGCACTCCACGCCCCCCAGGAAGTTGTCACCCCGACAGCTCAGGCTGCTGGGCCCGTGGGCGTCATAGACCTCAGAGCGCAGCTTCTGCACCTCCTCAAAGCAGTAGCCGAGCGTGAAGGCCTTGGAGAACACCAGGTCCAGGCTGCTCCGGACCACCTCGGTTCTGTCCACCTGCCGGCAGCGCCGAGTGAGGCCCTCAGGGTCCCCTTCCCCTCCCATCTGCCCTCAGGTGGTCCTTGCTTCCAGACTGTGTTGTGGGAAGACCCCACTCCACAAGATGCTGCGAGGCTCCAGGCCGCCCCTCCCTCACTCCTCACTCCCCCGGCCGCCCACATCGCAGATGGGGAAACAGGCTCAGAAGGGGGAAGGGTGGGGCCCAAGGGCACCCCAAGTCAGGGACAGAGCGGATTGGAACCCTGGACAGTGAAACCAGAAGCAGGTATCTGTCTCTGGTGGTCCGGAGATGACAAGAGACCGTACAGAGTCACGGATCAGAAGGTCGCGGCGCTCCTGGCCTCCGAGCCCCTG